TGTTTCTTTTAAGTCGAGAAAAATAACTTTGAAATTTGAACTAGCTTAAATAGCCAATTTTTCAACCGCCGGAAGCAACGTACGGTTGCCGAGTTGGTAAAATTTATGTTTTACACGCTTGGGGTACGATGTTCCAACCCGCGTATTGCAAAGAATTTTTTGCATTTTTTCTTAATTCTTTTTAAGTTAGTTAAAGAATTTTTTACTCATTTAGATTCAATAACTTCAATAAAGAACAATGATCCCATCACTTTAGTCGCCCCTTGCAAGAAGAAATTTCTTATTCGTATTAAAATTATTTTACTATATTTTAAGTTTCAGCTTCGATGCAATGCTGAGAAGGTATTTTTTTGTGACTATCATTTATTTTCTCTGCTCTAACTTGACCTACTTTTTTCAACAATACGTCAAATTACTACAATTCGTATCTAGTTGAAGATATTACTCTCAAAAATTGAAAAAAAAATTCTAATTTATCAATTAAACAGTTAGTTATTACATCGTCTCCATAAAGACAATTAAAATCATTAATTTCTAATGTTTTCAAAATATTTATTAACGAATGAAGTTTGATATGATAGGTTTCAACTACAAAATTAAATCATTTTACTTTGTAATTTAATAATTTTATTACTCTGTTTGTGTGTGCTACTATTAGACTATAATATTCAAATTTTTTTCTAACGTGTTGCTATATAAATCATTTCTAAAAAAAATGATTGTTTTTTCTCCTGAATTAACAATTGATTTTTACAAATATAATCAAATTTTATAATAAACTCAATTGAGTAAATCTTTTTAACAACTTTGTTTTGATTGGTACATTTAGTTAAAGTAAATCATTAAAATTAATTAAGTTCTCAATATTTCAATTATAGAATCTTTTCAACAAACAACAAAAGTTCCTAGGAAATTATTACTATTACTTCTATTTAAGTTATCTATTACCATAAAAATGCAAAAAAATATTGAGCTTTTCTGATAAATTTACAATAAATAGTAATTATAAAACTTTCTGACTGCATATTGATCTTAACGATACAATTTTTTTAATTGTCATAAAATTTTCTATTTAATTATGTCAATGTCAAACTTACCAATTGAGCTAAAAGTTATGGTAAAATAAATTTTTTTTTTT